ATCTCAGAGCACAAAGATCGGTGGTTCTCAGTAGGGACTAGAGGTAGTCTAACACAGGACTTTTTCTTTTGACTTGGTATTTTCATAATTTAAAAATGTGTGAGAAATATAACTGCCACTGGTAGTATCACTAAACATAAATATAAAAGCAGAAAGCCTATAAAAGTAAAGTGTGCTTCTTTCTTACAAAGGAAAGCAGTTTTTCCATTCCTAATATGTTGAGATCCATATTTTTTGATAGAACAATTGGGTGCTTCTGATACAGAAACTTCCTTGCTTTAATGTAGTCATAGTTATCAGTTTTTTCTTCATGGTTTGTCTACCCCATTTTACAGATGCAGAAACTGAGACCCACACAGGGAAGTGACTTCCCAACTTGCCATCAGTTAGAGACACAGCTAAGGGAGGGGGGCATGGGCAATATATGTAATCTTAACACATGTACCCCCATAATACGCTAAAATAAAAGAAAATAATAATTAAAAAAAAAAAAGCAACAGAGCTAAGACTCCTCTTTCTCACTCCTGTCCACCCCTCTGTCCTGTACTCACTCAGGGATCTGCCCCCTTGCCAAATCTTCCCCTGGGCCTGATTTCACCATCTCCTTCATCCCAGCAGCAAGATGCCCAATCCACCCCCTGGCCAAGGTGATCTTCAGCGAGGCTACCTGAGTATCCAGCCTGGTGATAGGAGCTGAGGAGCTGGTGAGAAGAGACAGAGGCCATGTTTGTAACTGTAGGGTGCTCAGGTTGTCTAGGACACTATCAGTCTCAGGCTGTCAGACTGAGTCACCAGGAGCAAGGGGTAGGCAAGCATGGGAACAGGGCTGGGCCCTGGACCTGCACTAAGACAGGAATATAGAGATGGTCATGGCCAAGGGAGATAATCCATTGAACACCTGTCACACCACCGGGCACCTCGTGAGGGTGTAAGGACCCAGGTCAATGAATTTCACAGAGAACACACCCATGTAACCTGAACCCAGATAAAGAAACAAAGTGTTAGCAGCACCCCAATAGCTTCCTTCTTTGTTCCTTCTAGTTGCCCCAAGGCTGAATGCAACACTGTCTCCTAACACCAGGATGAGCCTGTTTTGGAGCTTTATGTAGATGAAATTTTACGGCATATACACTTCCATGTTAGGATCCTTTTGCTCATCATATTATCACTGAGGTTCATCCATGTGGTTGCATTCAGTTGTAGAACATCCATTCTAATTGCTGTACTAATATTTGATAGTGTGATTATACTGGAATGCATTTATCCACCTGGTGATAGATTATTTAGGTTATTGCCAATATTGGGCTAATAAGAGCAGTGCTGCCATGCATAGTCTTGTTTTTTGGTGCATATATGCATATTTCTGCACATAGGGAATTTCCACATATTTCTGTGGCATTTCTGGGTCATAAAGTATGTGATACTTAGCTGTAGTAGACACTGCCAAATACTTTTCCAAAGTGCTTGATTATGCTGAGTTATGCTGGCACCAGCAGTGGCTGAGGTCCTGCTCATACCACACCCCCCTGAACAATGGCAGTTCTTTCAGTTTGAGAAGATAGATGTTTGTGGAACAGGTTTGCATCAGATTGCCCGCATTTGAATCCCAGTTCTCTTCTTACCATATCCCTCAGCAAAGCCTGTTTCCTTTTCTACAAAATGGGTTGAAAATCATGGGGCTGTTGTGAAGATTCCATGGACCTATTAGGTGGTAAGTGCTCCGTACACATTAACTATTTATCACTTATTCTCACTACAATCCTCTGGATCACTTCATCTCTTACAGCCTCAGTGTCCGCTTCTTAAATTGGTGATGAAAACACAAACATACCCACATAGTTGAGATATATAAAAGTGCCTATTTTTAATTGTGATATGATGTACACAAAATTTGCCATTTTTCAGTGGTGCTCAGTATAGTCATAGAGTTGAGCAACTATCACCACTATCTAATTCCAAAACCTTTTTATCACTCAAAAAAAAAAAAAAAAAACTCCATATCCATAATCAGTCCCTCCTCATTCCCCACCCCCAACCCCTGGCAATTACTAATCAACTTGCTATCTCTATGAATATTAAAAATGCTGAATATTGGCTTTTCTATATCTTTTTAACTTCTGCAAAAGTGAAAATTAAATACCTAGCACTGAGAGGGGCATATCATATGCATTTATATGACCTTTTTCTATGTGTGTGTGGATGGATGGATAGAGTGTGCCTTGTAGATAGATGTACTATAAACTCATTCAATCACCAAGTACCCATTTGCACATTTGCACTTGAGAAGGACATGGGTGATACAGAGAAATAAGATGCGATTCTTGTTTTCAGGAAATTTGCCATCTAGTGGGAAAGAAAAGCACGTGCACTGCTCACTGTGAACGCTAAGCAGAATGAAATCAGAGTTTGTATTGGAACAAGGGTTGTGGGAACTCAGAGATATTAACCTGGAAAACTCATGGAAGATGTCAGAGGTGGCACTTAAAGATGGGTGAGCCAGACACTGTGACTTGCACCTGTAGTTCCAGCTACCAGGGAGGCTGACGCAGGAAGATCGCTTGAGTTCAGGAGTTTGAGGCTGCAGTGAGCTATCTATCATCACGCCTGGGCAACAGAGCAAGATCCTGTCTCTAAAAGAAAGAAAGAAAAAAAGATAGATGAGCTTTCCTGATGAGAAGGGGCAGTCTGGAAATCCTAAAGATCAAGACTGGGAGGCAAAGAGGGCCTGGCATCAGATGGGGACAGCCAGGTCTTCACACCCCAGTCAGGACCTTGTCCTGTACCTGTGTGGACTGTGAACAAGACTTGATTGTAGAGAGGCTATAAACTCTGGTTTATAGGTAATAGAGGCCAAATGAGAAAGGCAGGGACAGGGCGAGCAGGCCAACTTACCAAGGCTGTGCTGTGTGTGGGCACGGGCACCCTGAACTGGCTATGCCATGTCATCATGGGAGAGATCAGGATTTGTGGACATCCTTACATTTCTCATACTCTTTAGTGTTGTTTGGAATTACACAGGCTGGGCTTGTCTTTTCGGTGCTTATACCTCTAAAGGTATAAGCCCTGAGCAGAAATGAGATGCAGATGCCTGCTGAGGGGAAACTGATGGTGTGGGGTGAGGGAAAGAATTCACTCATAATCCTCCCACCCTACTCAGACCTAGTTCCAGAGGAAAGTCTCTGGAACTGCAGGAGGCAATCGGAGATTTTCTCCTGGGGACAGGTGGCCGAGCGGAGAGCATGGTGAGGTGATCTGGGGGTGCTGATAGCAAAGACTTGGAACCAAGGCTGCACGACCCTAAAAAATCACTGCATTCAGTCTCCCCATTTTACAGATGGAGAGACAGATCCCCAGTAAGACACTACCCAGAGTTATTCATGGAGTTCGTAGCACAGCAAGGATCAATTCAGGTCCCCACCTGAGCCAGGGCCCCCAGAGCTAGGAGGCCCCAAGGGAGGTGGGGAGGAGCCTCTAATTCCCACCACACCCCCTACAGCAGCCCACCAGCCCCTCCTAGCATCATGCCCCTTCCTCCAAGCATTTCCCAGGTCTGTGGGTGCCCGCTGTGGGGTTCAGAGACTCTAGGGCACAGTCTTGCCTCAGGGCTCCGAAGAAGGGTAGGGGGAGGAAGACAGGGGGAGAAGTTTGTCAGTCTGTGCCAAGGATCTCAAAAGGGCCACTTGGAGATGGCGCTCTGACGTGGGGCAGAGCCCCTCCAGAGGAGGTAGACTGAGATGAGCATTGGAATTCCCACCTCCAACCCTGCAGTCAGGCGGGGGTGGCACAGGGAGAATGCACTTTCTGCAGAGAGCATCAGGGAGGACTGGAGAATAGCTGGGGCTCCCAGGAATGTTAGGTGACTGGCAGGGACACAGGGTACCAAGCCAGGTGGGAGAAAGGGCCAGTCTGTGAGCAGCCTCCAGCAATCACTTCACTTGATTGCCAGTTGCTGGGAGCCCCGGGGCACTGCATTGTGACCCTGAGGACCGAGTAACCCTAGCACGGGCTGGAAGAAAGTGCTGCATGCAAACCTTTTCCAAGGCTGCAGCTTGCGCTGACCACCTCCCCTTTCCCCCCATGGTGACAACTAGGACACAACATCAGAAAGCCAAGGGAGGTTAATGTTTGCCTCCAGCCCTTCCCTGTCCCCACCCACCCCACACCCACTAGGGACAGCCCTGGAGGGAAGTCTGGGAATCTTCTAGACCAAGCTTTGCTGCTGTTCCTCTGAGATACTTGGGCATGTTTTTGCTCCCGTGTGCCTCTGAATCCCACCTTTAAGGATGGTTAAGGGATCCAGGGAGGTGACAGACGTGAATGCCTCAGCCTGGTTTCTACTTCAGAAGCTGGACCTTAGGGTCAGTGAGAGGGGTGTCCAGAGCTCCTGGGCAGATGCTTGCTTTGAGGGTTGTCCCGGGGAGGGTGGCACAGGCTCCACCTTGCCAGCCAGCCACCATTACCACCGCAACGGTCCCGCAGGGCTCCGCAGGATTCACACTCATGTAGCCCCGTGGGCCCGTCTGTGCAGCTGTAGCGTCACTAGGGGTACCAACAACTCCCTGGAGGCCAAGCCCTTTAGGGGCATTGCCTCATGTCCACCACACAAGGTCCCTTCTCGAGAGGTGGGGGCTTCCGGCTGAGCCGTGCTGAGATCAAGGAGAGTAGGGACGCAGTAGTTAGGTGAGGGGACATGGTGATCTCGGGCCTCCCGGGAGGGCACCCCTGGAAGCACGAACCCCACCGGGCTTCAGGCACTGAGGCGCTCTCCGTTTCGGGTGTGATAGTCCACCCTTCTTGAGACCCCTTTTGGGGGAAGTAGGAACGATTGACTCCAAGTGGTCACAGCAGGAGGAAAGGCGGGAGGACCCATAGCGACAGACCCGCTGGAGCTCCAGGGCCTTGGGCTCACACCTGGAGCATTGATTATGCTAATGAAGTCCCGCCCCTCCGCCCTACCGAGGCCCCGCCCACCCGAGGGCCTATCGCGGCGGGGGGTGGGGCTATGTTAATAAGGCTGAGCGCCCGCGAGCTGCCCCGGCCTCGCGGCGGAGCCCAGGCTAGGCGGCGGCGGCGGCGATAGCCATGGCTGGGGCTCTGGCAGGGCTGGCCGCGGGCTTGCAGGTCCCGCGGGTCGTCCCCAGCCCGGACTCGGACTCGGACACAGACTCGGAGGACCCGAGTCTCCGGCGCAGCACAAGCGGGCTGCTCCGCTCGCAGGTCATCCACAGCGGTCACTTCATGGTGTCCTCGCCGCACAGCGACTCCCTGACCCGGCGGCGCGACCAGGAGGGGCCCGTAGGGCACTCCGACTTCGGGCCGCGCAGCATCGACCCCACACTCACTCGCCTCTTCGAGTGCTTGAGCCTGGCCTACAGGTGAGGGCGGCTCCGGGGCCGACGGCCTCGGCTCTCCGTGGCGGGACTGCGCGCTGGGGCTCCAAACACCCTCCGGGGCCCTCTGCTCCCGGGACTCCAGCCACACCCTGGACTCCTCCCGCCCCCAACCCCTGGCGTCCTCTGACCCCGGCGCAGCCCACTGGCCCTCGACGAACCTGCAAACCTTCTGATTCCCGTTCCTCACCACCGTCGCTTCATCCCCGGGCGACCGCCCAGCCCGCCACCTCGACCTCCCTAGGACCACATCGGGCCCCTCGCTCTGGTCCCTGCTCCTCTGCCCACCCGCCAAATGCCAGGCGTCCCTCGCGTTCCCAGGCCCCTAGGCCATGCCCGTCCATCCCCACTCTCCACCGACCCCGGGACCACTCCTCCTGACCGCCTGCAGCCCTCGGTTCTCTCCCCAGCAGCCCGGCCCAGACGCACCCTACTTCTGCACCCTGCAATATTCCCCGCGCCTTTGGTTGTCCCATTCCACCTCCTCCCAAGTGCTGGGACGCGAATAGGTCAAGGGTGGTGGGAGGAGGGTGTCCCGGGCTGGCAGGAGCGGCGCAGCTCGCCGGGGTTCGGGCCACGGCCCGGCAGGGGGTGCTGCTGGCCGCGGGGCGGGTGCGCGGAGGCCGGGGCTCCCCCGCCAGGGTCGCCGAGCGAGGCTGAGCGCCCGACGCAGCCTGGGACCCCAGGTTAGCGCGTCGCGGAGAGCACGGGCCGCGCCCGGCTTCCGCTCCCCGCCCGCGTCCCAGGGTAAGGCGCCAACCCGGGTCCTGGCCCCGTGCCCTGGAGCAAAGTTCCCCGGAGCGGAGGGGCCAGGATAAATTATCAACCGAAAACCGTAGGGGAGAAAGGGGGATCGGCCGGCCTTGATCTTTTCTCTGTGTAAATATTCCTCTTCTTCCGCAGCGCCTCCTCCACCTCTGAGAACCGCTTGATAGAGACTGGCACCTGCCGCCTGAAGGCGAGCGGGAGCTGGGGTGGGGATTGCGCGGGAGTGTAGCTACCCCCAACCGCGGCCGCCGAGCTGCGACCCCATTGGCTGGAGGCAGAGTAACCTTGGCCCACATGCTCTGGCCCTGAGCCCAGGTCATGTTGCAACCTGATCGTCCAGGGCTCCGGACCGATGTGGAAAGTTCAAATTCCCGTCCCTTCTCCCCTCCCCCCTGGACGTCACGAGACTGCCTGGGACAGGGCATCTAAGGTCCCATACACAGGATGCGGGCACCCCTCCTCCTAAGGGTCTCCCATGTCCCACCCACTCCCGGCTTTGGCTTCCTGCTTTATGCTACACGCCGCTCTACTTGGGCTGGCTAATTCCACCCCAGACCATGGGTGACCCAAAGGCGAGGTTCTGGGGAGGTGGCAAGGTAGGGGACAGATCACACCCCAAGGACTGCTCCCCTGAGAGGCTGACTTGAGGCTAATGTAACCCCAGTCAGGGACCGCTGGAGTGGAAAGGGCTGTGTTTTTTTCCCCCAAACACCCGGAATATTAAATCTCTGGCCAGGGTGTCAGCCTAAGCACCGCTCTGGGGATGGTGTGGGGGGAGTGTCAATACCAGCGGCCCGGGGCTTCCCCATTTGGCAGGGGAAAAACCCGAGGCTCAGACTGGGAAAGTGTTCTAGCCCTGGAAGACTCCTAATTATAGGGGTTCTCTGGAAGGGAGAGGATTTTGGAACTGAGTGTCCCAGGGGAGTGACTGGATAGAAGGGGAACAGCACGTGAAAGGTCCAGAAGGTGGTGGGAGGACCAGGCCAGCCTGACCCAGAGGACAGGGTGCAGAGGCCTGGCGCTCTCACCCTCCGCAGGGCAGTGCGGGCAGAGGGGGGACTTTTCTAAGAGGACATGTTCCACAGATTGTGGGTGGAAGCCCTGGAGGGCAGGTTCTGGAGGCTTTAACAAAGCACTTATTCGTGGTCAGAGCTGGCTAGAAAGAGTGGCCTCAGGGATGTGAGGGTGTAAGTGGCACCTGTTAGGGGTGCTCTAAAGGGAATTCCTGCAAGGCGGGGAGGGGGGTGGGGAGCTGAATTAGGGATTCTAAGGTTTTCCCCACCCCATCCCCAAGCATCTCAGATTCTCCTATTGGTCATAATAAGTTTTTGAACCCTGGCCCTAGGCTTTTGGCTCCAGGCTGTGCCCCTCCCCTCACAACCCCAAATCCCTTCCTCCTGGGCTTGGATATTGTCACCTTCTTATCTCCCCCAGACCTGCCTGGCCCCTACTGTCATAAGTCAGGAAGGAAATGGGAGAAAGAAGGCAGGCAGCTGGAGGTGGGACACCAGGTGGTCAGAATGGCCTGGGAGGTTGCTGGGATACAGGCAGGGGTGACAAACTCAGGAGTCTCCCTCACTCCTCACCCAAAAGAAGCTGGCCCAGGAGGTGTCACAATTTCTCCTACCCCCACCCCATGTCTCCCTGCTAAACAGATGGTGTTTATCTAACCACAGGAGGGAAGGGGCCAGCCAGTGGGCCAGGGCGCTGGGCTGTGTACCCTATTTGGGTAATGAGGCCTGTTGTCCCCTGGGTGGCAGTTCCCCACCCCCACCCCAAAGCAAACAGAGGAACCTGGAGACCAGAGAGGAGAGGGGGCCCAGTGGCTGATGTACCCAAGGGGCTGCAAGGAGAGGGGCTGAGGAGTCAGACAGCCACCCACCTCTCACCCCCAGGATAAGGGAGGGACCCCGGGAGTGAGCAGGCCTGGCTTTCTAAAATACTAAGTCTTGGGGCCTCAGCCTTCCCACCTCAACAAGGGGCAGAGAGGGTGGGCCAGAGGGGACTTGTACACAATCCTGGCTTGTGGTTAGTGAGGAAGGAAGGAAGAAGAGACTGGCAGAGGCCTAAGACCCTGCATGTCTTGGCCTCCTGGGTCAGCTTCCTGGAGGTGGCAGACTTGTCCTGTGCCTAGCAGGACCCTGTATAGAGCCCCTGCATCCCATGGATTTGATGGACCGCTAGGGTTAGGGTAGGGTGCTCGCTTCCCAATGCCCGCCACTCCCCATCCTAGCTGCCTGCGTTTGGGCCCTGACTGCTCATTGTCTTCAGCATGTCCCTACGAAGGGCACATCTTCCAGCTCAGTCCAGATCACCATCCGGGGATTCTGGATGGGGCAGACACCAACAGGGCTCTGAGGCCATGACCAGTCAAGAGGCTCCCTCTCCACCCAGGCAGACCCTCCCCAACCATCCCTTCTGTCTCTCCTGAGCCTAAGGGGGCCTGGGTTCGTCCCTGCCATGTGACCCTGGGCATGTCTCTTTCCCTTCCTGACCCTGGGGAAGGTCATTTCTTACTCTCCTTAAGTAAGGAATGGATGTGAGAACTCTCCCCGGCCAGCCCACAGGACACGCCTGTGAGGCCACTGGACATTGTTGTTCCCGGGACAGAGCTGATAAACAGGTTTGAGTCTTCCTTCAGTTCTGGTGGTAGATTAACAAGCAGGTCTCTACAGAGAACACAAGGCGCTACCCCCCCCTCCCCGTGGGGGTCTGGGAGGCTATTTTAAAGATCTGACTCTCAGGGTAGGAATTTTAGGCAGGTTAGATTAAGGGGCCAGATTTGAGGGGTCCCTCAAATTCCAACCATAGCTGAACACCTAGTGCATGAGAAGAATGTGGAGCACCCCCCTCTAGCATCTTCCACTTTCTCCACCCCTGTCCTGACCTAGCCCTCTCCCCCTGACAGTGGCAAGCTGGTCTCACCCAAGTGGAAGAATTTCAAAGGCCTCAAGCTGCTCTGCAGAGACAAGATCCGCCTCAACAACGCCATCTGGAGGGCCTGGTATATCCAGTGTGAGTGGGCACCACTCCCCAGCCAGGAGGGGCCTCCCCCCGGCCAGAGGGCCCCAGAAGGGGGCTGCCCAGGAAAACCCCCGGGACCCTCAGGGCCAGCACCAGCAGAGTGCTGCCAGCCTTCTGGGGAGACCAGACCCCTGCACCAGGACCCCTGAACAGCTTCTGATCCCCAGAGGGTCTTGGGGAAAGCAGAGGTCACCCCTCAGAAGCACTAAGGTAGGCTGAGATTTGGGGGACAGTTCAAAGCCCATTCTTCATCCCATTTGTGTAGCCAGATGCCTCGAATGCCAGGGTAGACGGGGGCATGAGACACTCTCTGGGCCAGCTGCATCACTCTGTAAACGGGGAGACTGAGGATCCTACGTGAGTCTCCACCAGCCTTTCAACGAAGTCCACCCTGAACACCCAGCAGGCGCCCACCGTGGAGAACTGAGCAGAGGGGGCCCAGGGAGGACGTGTGGTATAGTGGAAGGGACTCCAGATTTACAGTCACTCAGAGCTGGTTTCCCACCCTGCCTCTGCCCTTCGTGGCTGTGTGACTACAGGCTAGTTCTCTAACCTCTCTGAACCTTATCCATAAAACGAGGCCAATAGTCCTACTTTTCATGGTTGGTATGGGGACAAACAGGTGTGAAAGGGCCTGGCACTAAATTGGTATTCAATAAATGATGTACCCTGGAGGAGGTCACATTCAGGGACACCCCTGTGCCCCCACCCCTCGTGGCAGGGAAGTAGAGGCTGGAAGACTTGGATCAGTCAGCCCTTTGTTGGGACCTTGTCCAGCTCAGTTAGGTCCTGCTACAGGAACTAAGGCTGCCCTGGGCCAGGCATAGTGGCTTGTGCCTGTAATCCCAGCACTTTGGGAGGCCAAGGCGAGAGGATTGCTTTAGGCCAGGAGTTCAAGACCAGCCTAGCCAGCATAACAAGACTCCATCTCTACAAAATATAAAAACAATTAGCCAGGCGTGGTAGTGCGTGCCTATAGTCCCAGCTGCTTGGGAGGCTGAAGCAGGAGGTTCGCCTGAGCCCAGGAGTTGGAGGCAGCAGTGAGCTATGATTGCACCACTGCACTGGGTGACAGAGCAAGACCCTGTCTCAAAAATAGGGACGGAAAAAAAAAAAAAAGCTGTGCTGAGCTGGGAACACACAGCCTAGGAGGGACCATATGCAGTAGTCTCTGTACTGGCCCCGCTGGCTTCTGTCCAAGTAAACAGGGAGTGTTTTCTGGTTTCCATTCATCTATGTGCCAGGTGCTTTCATAAAGCATCTTATTTAAGGCTCCCAGCAGCCCTGGGAGATAAGTATTATTGCCCCCATTTTATGGATTAGCAACTGAGGTTCAGAAGGCAAGTGGCATGTTCAGGTTCACAGAGCATAAAAGGGAGCAGCAGAGCTGGGGCTGGCTAGAGTCTGGGGCTGTCTCACTGTGGTGCTCCTTCCCTGCTCCCAGCTGTCTGGCTTCCCGTCCTCTCTTGACAACACGCAGGTCAGCCGGGGCAGTGGCTGAGCTTTTCAGGGAAGTGGAAGGTACATGTTTTTTGATGCCTTCTCTGGGTCTCTGCCATTTCTTTTTTTTTTTTCTTTTTCTTCTGACAAACATGCCATTCAGAATATGCTGTTTCTGAGAACTTGCGTGACAGGCCCTGGTCAAAAACTAGGAAGCTGATACGCCTGGGGGAGTCGATGTCTCCCCCACCCCAAGATTTCACACTTCCACCTTCCTCCCAAAGCTAGGTGGGACCCTTCTACTTCCAAACCCTTCACTCTGCAGAAGAAATTTCTGATAATAGCTGAAGCTTGATGTCCCTTGGGGTCCGCACCCAGGCACACTGGACTCAGCTATTGCACAAGTTGCTGGAAGGACCCCAGGTTCTGACTCAGACAGAGCTGGGTTTGAGGCCAGCCCTGGCACTCCCCAGTTGTGTGGCCTTGGGAAAGTCTCTAGCCTCCCCGAGCCAAAGCTTGCCCATCTGTAAAATGGGAATAATGACAGGTCCTATTTCTGAGGCTTGCTATGAGCTTTCAGTGACATCACCCAGGTCTTAGCACAGAGCCTGGTGCACAGAGGGACCCCCTGAAAGTGAGCAGCTGGATGGATTATTATTTTGATAGTAGCAGCCGCACGTGGCTGGCATATAACAAATGTCAGGACCTCTCCTTCCTAAACACCAAAGGTTTGAGGTGGGCTTGGGGGGGGGGCTGCTTGGCTCATCCCCCTGGAAAAGTGTCTCGCCTTAGGCACAACCAAGAAGGGCCCTGCCATCCCTCTGCAGGTTCCTGGTCTCTGAGACCCACTTCTCTCTGTCCCACACTCCAGAATCTCCTTGGTTTCCTCTGAGCTCCCAGGGTACTTTGCACCTCTCCTGAGCAAGAAGGACTTTCCACTTTGCATTCTCTCTGTTGTTTGTTTGCTGTCCTTATCTCTCCGCGAGGCTGTAGGCACCCTGATTCATCCATGTATTCCCTGTCCAGAGGGTTGGACGCTGAGCTGAATGAACAGACCAACTTATCAGTGTTAAACAAAGCCTACCCTAGGAAGCCGCATTGTCACAGCCCTTCTGTCCAGAGCACTGGGCTGGGGAGAGGAAAGCTGGGCCACTCAGCCCTGACTCTCTGGGGGCCCTGGACAAACTTCATTTTTCCCGGTACCCATTCTATCACCTGAGAAGCCAGGGGCAGATACTCTTTGAGACCCTCCTTACATAGGCCCCTGGGAGTCTACACAGCCATGGGCCTGTCCCCTTGTGTGCTATCCAGGCCAGGCTCAGTGAGCAGGACAAAACCCCTCCTGTCTGTCTGGGCGAATGTTCTTTAGGACGGAACTTTGTAAGTGATGCTGAAAGTCCCAATAAATTTCATGCCCAGGTGGTCCCCCTCCTCTGTGTCCTCATTTGCCCCGGAGGAAGTTGACTGAGGCCAGTGATTGCCTGCTTTGTCAGGCGCCCAGGAGGAATCTTAGGGTTGCCTCTTACAGAGGCCTGCTATGTGCCAAGACCGGAGCCAGCACAGCTCCCGCTTCACGTCCCGTGGGGAGGCAAGCACGCAGAGATGACCAGAGAGGGCAGAGGAGGGAGGTGCATGGGTCCCATAGCGTTTTGGGGGCAGGAAGGCTGCCTGGAGGTGGAGCCATCCCGAAGGGTAGGGAGAGGAGGGAAGGGCAAGGGAATAAGACCAGAAGGTGGGCTGTCTAGCTTCAAGGTGGGCCACAAGGACGTGGGAGAAGCAAGTGGTGGCTAAGTCATGGAGGGGGTTGGAGGCCAAGCTAAAGAGTGGGAACTTTATCCTGGAGGTTGTAGGGAGCCATGGAGGGTTTCAGGCCTGAACTGCACTTTGTGAAGAATTGACCTGACTGCAGCAGGAAGATAGACTAGGGAGCATGAAGCTGGAGTCAGGGAGGTCCCTGTGAGAAATGCCACCAGACTAGGGGGAGACACAGTGAGAGAGAGGCTGGAGGGGAGGGAGTGGTGGAAGAGACGTCACAGATCCTATAGAATTGAGACCAGGAATGCCAGTGGGGCTTTTGTGGTAGGTTTTGGGACATCCTAGTGGAGGATCCCCAGGCAGCTGGTTATGGGATTGAGCTGGAAGGGGCAGGGTGAGAGAGGCCGTGGGTGGGCATTGCAAAAGAATCAGTGCAAAGGAGTCAGTGAAAAGCAGTGAGGGAGGTCCGGCGAGGTGGCTCACGCCTGTAATCCTAGCACTCTGGGAGGCTGAGGTGGGTGGATTGCTCGAGGTCAGGAGTTCGAAACCAGCCTGAGCAAGAGCGAGATCCCGTCTCTACTATAAATAGAAAGAAATTAATTGGCCAACTAATATTTGTAGAAAAAATTAGCCGGGCATGGTGGCACATGCCTGTAGTCCCAGCTACCCGGGAGGCTGAGGCAGAAGGATCGCTTGAGCCCAGGAGTTTGAGGTTGCTGTGAGCTAGGCTGACGCCACGGCACTCACTCTAGCCTGAGCAACAAAGTGAGACCCTATCTCAAAAAAAAAAAAAAAAATTACCTGGGCATGGTGGTGTGTGCCTTTAGTCCCAGCTACTTGGGAGGCTGAGGCAGTAGGATTGCTTGAGCCCAGGAGATTGAGGTTGCTGTGAGCTAGACTGACACCAGGGCACTCACTGTAGCCTGGGCAACAAAGGGAGACTGTGTCTCAAAAAATAAATAAATAAAAGCGGTGAGGGAGGCAGGAGAGCAGGGAATGTTCCTGGGGCTTGGGGAGGAGAGTGGGGAAGAGGCCAGGGAGCCTGGGACAGGGCTCACAGTTCAGGAGCCAGGTCAGTGGAGCGGGCAAGGGGGCAGACACTGAGTCTCAGAAGGTGAAGATGAGATGGGAGGGGTGGCAGCAGAGGTGGCAAGTGACAACTATTCCAAAATGGGTGCTGGAGGGAGGGAAGGGGTGCCAAGGGGTAGGAGGTTAGCTTGTTGATAGCTAACCCAATGAGGGGGAAGGAAAGGCTTGGGAGATAAAGAAGAGCCTGGAATGTGTTTGTGGGCCAAAGGGAAGGGACCTGGGGAGTGGCCAGGACTGGAGACTAGAGGAGAGTGGAGGGTGTGGCAGAAGGCTCAGGTAGGTAGCCGGAGGTAGACCAGGGGTAGTTTTCTGAGATGAGAGTGGGTAGTGCCAAGGAGCCTGCGCCAGAGGACCCAGGGCTCTAGACCCTGGCCTGCCAGTCTGAACAGGATCTCCTTGGAGGACCTCACTGCCTGTGGCCTCACAACCCATTCAGCAAGTGCTGCCTGCCCACCTACCAGGCCCCCATGGGGAGGGGCAGAGGAGGTGTGGGTTCTTTCGCAGTGCCACATAGAAAATCTCGGAGGGCTAGAGCAGGCAGGAAGGCTTCCTGGAGGAGGCAGCAGATGATGCTTAATCTGAACGTCCAAGACCAGGCAGGATTTCATAACGTGTCACCTGGGCACCCCTGACCTGGCCCGCTTCTCGCAGATGTGGAGCGGAGGAAGAGCCCCGTGTGTGGCTTCGTGACCCCCCTGCAGGGGCCGGAGGCTGACGTGCACAGGAAACCGGAGGTAGCTGCGGCCCTGGCCCGCCCGCCCAGCCCGGCCTCTCCCTCCTGTCCCTCCCTCGCTGGGCTGGGGGGCCGGCCCAGGCGGACTGGGTGAGGGTGGAAAATGGGGGTGCCGGGGCTGCCCTTCCCACTGAGCCCCCTCCCTCGACCCTTCCCAGGCCGTCGTCCTGGAGGGGAACTACTGGAAGCGGCGCATCGAGGTGGTGATGCGCGAGTACCACAAGTGGCGCATCTACTACAAGAAGCGGGTCCGTGGGGTCCAGGGAAGGCTCCTGCCACCGTCTGTCTTGGGAGATCCCTGGGAGGGATACCCCCGCCTCACAGCCAGCATCCCTTGGGCCCTCCACTAAGTCCCGGCCGACAGCGCCACCGTGTGGCCACAGGGTCTCCTAGCAGCCTCCTTACGTGGGTTGGGGGTGTCTCCCAAGGCGGAATAGGGGATCCCATTGCTGGGGGAGCTTGTGAGTAGGGGAGCTTTGGTGGGGAGTGATGGAGGTGGGGGCAAGGGATCCCGTGTCCAACTCTGTGTGTCCCTGCAGCTCCGTAAGTCCAGCAGGGAAGGGGATCTCCTGGCCCCTAAGCAGGTGGGTGCTCCGTGAGTCCAGCAGGGAAGAAATCCCCTGGCCCCTCAGCATGTGGGATGCAGAGAACTGACAGCTTCCGCCTGGGTGGGCAGGACAGTGGCTGGGGGTCAACGGGGCATATTTGGGGACTGGGAGTGACTGTCATCCTCTGGTTGATGAGTTGAGCCTGTCTCCCCTTGGGAGGGCGCAGTACCAGGGGCACCCCTGCTGAGCAAGGGGTGGGACCATGGGGGACCAAAGGGATCTAAGAACTGGGGTCCCAGACAGGACAGAGAGGGCAGGAAGGGAGCCCCGCTGGTCTGCAACAAGCCAGGGCCACCAGGGGAGGGTGAGGAGGATGAGCAGAGAGGCCTCCTGGCCAACTGGCTGACCATTTTCTACCTGAGCAAGGGTGATGGGGGGCCGGGGGTAGTGAGAGTCCTCCAGGGGCTGCTGACCGTTCTGTCCCCCTAGCCGGAAGGCAGGTGGCCACCGCCGGAGAGATGGTGCGAGCAGCTCTTCTCCAGCGTGGTGCCGGTGCTGCTTGGGGGCCCAGAGGAGGAGCCCGGCGGGCGGCAGCTCCTGGACCTCGACTGCTTTCTGTCGGACATCTCCGACACGCTCTTCACCATGACTCAGCCCAGCCCCTCACCCCTGCAGCTGCCCCCCGAGGACGGTGAGCGCCTGCGTCCAGGGAGGGGCAGGGGAGAGGGATCAAGCCTGTGAGAATCCACGCTGCCAAGGAAGGACTGGCTGGGGCCCCCACTCTATCCTGCCCGCTTCTCATGATGTCGTCACTGTCCCCTCCAGCCTATGTCGGCAATGCTGACATGATCCAGCCGGACCTGACGCCTCTGCAGCCCAGCCTGGATGACTGCATGGAGATCTCAGGTGGGGCAGTCCTCTCCCTCCCCCCAGTGGAGTGAGTGGGCAGGGTCCGTGTGGGGAAGACCTTGGGAGGACTGTGCGGCCATCCCAGGCCACTCCAGGAGGGAGGATGGTCTGGGTGGTTTCAGCGGGATCTTCCTGGCCTCCCTTTGTCCAGCCTTGGGACATGACTGGTTGGTCTCAGATGCGGGCAGGGGACAAGGGGCTGTGAAACTTCAGGCTAAAGAGGCTCCCAGGAAAAATAGCAGATGCTGAGACTCTTGGGAGAGAAAGGGACTTTGATTTGGTTGGGTCTATTTATTATTTACATGATGCATATAAAAACGGTTTATTAAAGAACACTGCAAGGCCAGGCGAGGTGGCTCACGCATGTAATCCTAACACTCTGGGAGGCTGAGGTGGGAGGATTGCTTGAGCCCAGGAGTTTCAGGTTGCTGTGAGCTAGGCTGGCGCCATGGCACTCTAGCCTGGGCAACAGAGTGAGACTCTGTCTCAAAAAAAAACCCCACAAAAAACAAAACAAAGAACACTGCAAACACGCACACTAGTAGAGACTAGTTCAGTGAAGCCCCATGTAACCATCACTGATGTCATCGACTTACCAGCTCTCCACCAGTCTTGTTTCCTCTGGACCATGCCTCTTTTCTCCCATGTTATTTCTAAAAAAAATCCCAGGTATCATATCTTGCAAAGCATTTTTTTTTAATGTAGGAAATTTCCCTGCCTCCCTCTCCTGACCCCAGGGCCACCAGGTTACTGATTTCTTAGCGTCCTTCCAGAGATGGCCGTGTCAGTAGAAGCACAGGCGGACAGATGTCTCTGTTTTCACAACAGACTCTGCCCCACTTGGGGCAGAGTTGTCTTCTTCACGTGGCTGTAGATCTCGCAGGCTGCTCTGATCATCGCACATTTAGGGGCCTCCAGAGCCATGTGGGGGACAGGCAGACAGCAGGGCTCAGCCTGTCTCACCCAAGGCCCAGGGGATAGGAAGAGGGTCCCTAGAATAAAGGCTTAGTTTCAGTGAGCCCCCGACTCCATCCCACAGGGCCCTGGGCCTGTCAATCAAGAAGTGGAGACCTATGGGGCGGGCACTAGGGAATGAGGAACCACCCACACCCCTGCCCCAGCCCTGGGGGGGGTGGGTGCCAGGGGCAGAAGTGTGGATGGCAGTGCCCTGGGAACAGAGCAGCCTGGGAGGGCGGCGGCCCTGTCTGGACACACAGACCCCTGCCACAGGTAGGAGGCCAACCAAGCCTACCCAGGCTCTGGGCAAGGCCAGCATAGACTGGGGCTAGGAAGCGACTTCTCACGAGCCAGGGTGGCTGCTGGGGGTGGGGGGGTAAGTGTGGCCTTGCAGAGGAGGTGGCTCCTGTGGCCCTCTCAGATGCTCCTGCACTGGCGGACAGCCAGCACCAATGCCCCCAGGGTTGCTGCTCTCACTGTCCCCAAAGCCCCACTGGAGAGGCAGGCTGGAAACCCAGAGAGGGTCCAGAGCTCTGTGGAGGCCGGGGCTTGGGGAGGGGATGGCAGGTCAGGTCACTGGAGGAAACAGGCTAGGGAGGGACTCCGGGCTTGGAGGGTGGCTACAGCTGGGAAGCGACTTCTCTCAAGGCAGGGTGAGGACAAGCCTGGGCGATCCATGGGAAGGGGATGGCGGTGACTCAGGGATGAGATGGGCTTGCCATCCCATGACCCCTACCCAAGCCCTGGAGACTGGGCAGCAGGTGTGAGCAGGGAGCGGCTCGGGGCCCTCATCCTCCTAGGGCCACCCTGGGGCCAGGCCCAGTGTGAGGCTGGTTCTATGGCCCAGGCCTCAGCAGCTAGCAGTGGGGCCCACGGTCCCTGGGGGGTGGACAGAGGACCAGAGACCACTCACTGTCTCCTGCCCAGTCCATCTGTCAAAGGGAGGCAGCAGGACAGCAAGAAGACACTCTCTAACTACGTGGCCCAGGAAAGACACACAGATGTGGGCACAGAGCATCGTGGCAGGGCAGGTTCATGAGGACTCAGACAGAAGGACAAATGTGGGAACAGACCCTGAAGGGACAAACAGATGCTATACACTGACACTTACGTGGCCACCTATTCCCACACACTGGCCCCATGTCTTCTGGCAAAGCAGTGTCACTTAAGACGCACACACACGCACACGTTTGACCCCAGCAGGTTCTGGGTTTGGGGGGGTCTTATCTACCCGACTCCTAGTCTCCTGGGAGAGGCTGGCCAGCCCTCTTGGCAAGTGGGGGTGGGTCGTGGAAGGACAGAGTGGGGACAGGGCCCATCCCAGGCCTGTGAGGAGCTGCCACAGTGGGGTTGGGTCTGACTAGACCGGGAGGCCTTGGGAGCCTGGGTGGACCTCAGGCTGGTCAGGGTCAGAGAAAGGTGCCCGGAAGGGAGCGGGTAGGCGGGTGTCGCCCAGGCCCGGGATGTGGTCAGGCCACAGGCAGCTGCTTCCCAAAACCAGAATAGCCCAAGGCTTACACAACCCGCACCCCAAACAATCCGGCGGCCACCTCCCCCGGCTCTTGCAGGCATCCCAGCCCCTTACACTCCTGCCCCTCTCTGAACCCACCCTTGGCTCCTCTCACCCCATTAGGCCCTCTACCCCACTCTTGGGCTCTGCCCTTGTCACCCACCTGTAGGCTTTGCAACAAACCTAACTGGTCCTAGATCTGCTGACCCCTGACCCCCTCACCTCTAAGTCACCCCTGAACTCCTGCCACCCCAGAGCTTCTCCTGCCCCAGACCTCCTCCCCAGCCACCACACCCCTTTCCCGCCATGGCACCCTCTACGGCCCCCCTTTCTCTGCCTCCAGCAGAGTGGGAAGGGGAGCAGCCTGGGGATGGGGGCAGGGGTACCTTCTGACTCGGGGCTGGGGCCGAGGGGCTGTGTCCTGGGGTCCCTGCTGACCCCATTGTCCCCCTCTGCCTCCCACTCAGGCCCATCCCACCCGAGCCTCTGCCGCTGCTTCCCCTGAGTGAGACAGAAACTCTCCCAGTTTCACAATCTCCTGTGGAAGCCCCCCACCCCCACCCGCCCAGGCTGGGGACAGGGCTCGAGGCCACACTCCTCCAGCTGTCTGCCAGCCACAGCCTGGGCCCTGACTGCTGCCGCCCATGTGTCTGAATTGCAGATTTCTTCACCAACTACCGTCCCCCACCGACGCCCACGCCTTCAAACTTCCCGGAGCCCCCCAGCTTTAGCCCCATGGCTGATTCCCTCTTCAGCAGTGGGATCCTGAGCCCAGAGGTGTCCCCGGCCTCCTCGGGCATGACCCACCTCTCAGGACATGGCCGCCTGCAGGTGAGCTCACCCACCTGAGAGCACCTGAGAGCAGGCCCTGGCTACACCCACGCCCAGCAGGTGCCCAGTCTTGTGCTTGACAGACTGGAGGGGAAGAACGGCCCCATGTCTGCCCTCTGGGGGGTGGGGGGCACAATCTTGCCAGAGAGGGGCGACCCCATGAAGCAGAACTGGACAAAATGGTTGAATGGGACTGAATGCATGGGGACCACGAAGCGGGTGCCACCAAGAGCTGGGTTGCTTATGGAGGGCTTCCTGGAGGAGGGGGAATTCTGGGCCTTAGTGAATGGGTGGGTTTTGAACTAGAAGAGACTAGTCAATGGCACGCCAGATGGGAGGAAGAACAGGAACAAAAGCATGGAGGAGAAGGTGGAGCATGTATGTCTAGGAAGCAGTGACTCTACCATTTATGTGGCTTAAAAACTCCCACGCCCAACTGAAACATTTCCTCTCTGCTGCTGGGTTATATGCCTCTTCCCTCCATCATGAGACTTTTCAGGCACTTTTATAGTTGGTTATGGAGGGGTCTCTCTCCTCCACCAACAGTGAGCTCCCTGCTGCAAGGGATAGATTTCGCTCACCACTGCATCATCTGGACCTAGCACTGTTCAGCATCAGTAAACGGCTGTCCAGTGAGGGAATGAATGAGCAAGTGTGTGGGTGGATGCGGGTGTTAGTGAATGGACAGATGTGTTGTAGATGGCACTGGATGCAGATGTGGTCTGGTGAATATATGGGTAGGTGGGTAGGTGGTTGGATGGATGGGCTGGTACATGGATGCGTAGATAAATAGTTTGATGGATAAATGAATGGGCTGGGTTAGGGTTAGGGGTTAGGGTTAGGGTGGTGGGTGGGTAAGCAGCTGGTGAATGCACAGGTGGTGGATAGATGGATGGATTATGGTTGGGTTGGTGGATGAATGAAGGAAGTGTGGGTGGTTGGATGGATTGGTGATGGGTCATACCTGGTGGGCTGGTAGAGAAATAGGTGGATGCGCTAGCTCAGAAATGAGAGAATAGATAGATAGGTGGATGGATGGATGGATGGATGGATGGATGGATGGATGGATGGATGGATGGATGGATGGATGGAGGAGAGACTGATGGACGAGTTAGTGGAGGGATGGATACGTTACTCGGTGGACGAATGGATGGGCAGGAAGACTGATGCTCTTTGTCACACCTAACTTGTGCATAAATGTATTCCACTCCCTCCTCTCATCAGATTAAATTTCCCTGCTGTGTGTGTGGAGTGGGGGTTGGAAGGCAGGGACTGGTTCTCTTGTCTTTCACCAGGGCCCAGTTGAGAGAGCTCAGTCGGGGCAGGAGGCTGCCTGGGAGGCTACAGGGGCCAGCTGTCTCCCCTGCCTCTGAGTGTCTGTCTGTGCCTCCTGACCAGGTTCGGAACAGCAGCCCTGGCCCCTTGGACTCCAGTGCCTTCCTGAGCTCTGATTTCCTCCTTCCTGAAGACCCCAAGCCCAAGCTCCCACCCCCTCTGGCACCCCCACCTCTCCTCCAATATCCTCCCCCTGCCAAGGTGCCTGGCCTGGAGCCTTGCCCTCCATCCCCCTTCCCTCCCATGGCTCCACCTCCCGCCGTGCTGCAGGAAGAGCCTCTCTTCTCTCCCAGGTTTCCCTTCCCCACTGTCCCTCCTGGCCCAGGAGTGTCCCCACTGCCTGTTCCTGCAGCCTTCCCACCCACCCCACAGCCCATCCCAGGCCCTGCCGCCACCCCCTTCCCCATAAACCTTCTGGCCTCAAGCTGTCCAGAGCCCGCTTTTGGGCCTTGCTTCTCCATGCCTCAGAGCACGTGGCCCAGAGGCAAGCCCCCGGCCCCATCCCCTAGGGGACGGAAAGCCAGCCCCCCTACCTTGGCCCCTGCCACGGCCAGCCCCACAGCCACTGCCGGGGGCAACAACCCCTGCCTCACACAGCTGCTCACAGCAGGTGAGACAGGAGGGACCATGTCAGCAGAGGGGGAGGTAGGGACCACCCATGGAAGTGGGGGGCCCATGGGAGCAGAAGGTGTGGGTGAAGGGACAGACTTGGCCTGGGGGACAGAGGAATTAGGGACATGGACCCTGTACCTGAAAGGGGCATGGCTGTTGGGGGTGGGGATGGAGTCTTGAGAGGTGTTAGGGGGCCAGCCCCAGCAGCCCTCACAGTTCTGCCTGTGCACAGCCAAGCCCGAGCAAGCCCTGGAACCACCGCTCGTGTCCAGCGCCCTCCTCCGGCCCCCAGCATCCCCGGTAAGATGGCAGGTGCTGGGAGGTGGGAGTGTGCCCAGGGGCTTCACCCTGACTCTCTGCCCTTCACCCCAGCAGGAGACAGTCCCCGAATTCCCCTGCACCTTCTTTCCCCCAACCCCGGCCCCTACACCACCCCGGCCACCTCCGGGACCAGCCACACTGGCCCCATCCAGGCCTCTGATTGTCCCCAAGGCAGAGCGGCTCTCACCCCCAGCACCCAGCGGTAAAGAGGGGCTGCAGGGACTGGGGGAGTCCAGGGGATGCAGGGAAAAGCAGGAAGAAAGGGGCACTGCATCTGGGGCCAGGATGAGAGGAACAGGGCAATGGGACCCTCTCCCCTGTGTCGGTCTGTCTGTGGGTCTGTCTGTCCCGGCCACAGGCAGCGAGCGGCGGCTGTCAGGGGAGCTCAACTCCACACCAAGTCCAGGGGCTCTGAGTGTCCGCGTCTCACCGCCTCAACCCATCCTAAGCCGGGGCCGTGCAGACAACAACAAGGTGGGCACCGTCCCCCCACCCCAGGATCAGGTTGCTACCCCCAGGCCCTCCCAGGCTCCTTCCTAGGCTCACCCCACTGTCTGCTCCCCAAGACCGAGAACCGGCGCATCACACACATCTCCGCAGAGCAGAAGCGGCGCTTCAATATCAAGCTGGGGTTTGACACCCTTCACGGGCTTGTGAGCACACTCAGCGCCCAGCCCAGCCTCAAGGTGAGCCCCCAGCCCAGGCTAGCACCCCCAGAGCCATGGGGCCCCATCCTGGGCCCCCCTACTCAAGACCAGGCCCCAGAGCCCTCCAGACACCCTTGCCTCCTCCCACCCCAGTGGGTCCCAGGGTGAGGTGGTCTCCAGCGCCTGAGCCCTCACTAGCGACACCCGCAGGTGAGCAAAGCCACCACGCTGCAGAAGACAGCCGAGTACATTGTCATGCTGCAGCAGGAGCGGGCGGCCATGCAGGAGGAGGCCCAGCAGCTGCGGGACGAGATCGAGGAGCTCAACGCTGCCATTAAGTAGGCAGGGTACGGGCGGGTGCTGGGGCCAGGGGGACATGCCGTCTGATGCCCAACCCCGACCCCCCACACCCCCAGCCTGTGCCAGCAGCAGCTGCCTGCTACCGGGGTGCCCATCACACACCAGCGTTTCGACCAGATGCGAGACATGTTTGATGACTATGTCCGAACCCGGACGCTGCACAACTGGAAGTTCTGGGTGGTATCCTCGCTCAGACCAGTGGCTGGGGACAGCAGGGGCTGCGGTGGGGTGAATGCTGCAGCCAGCCCAGGCTGCACCCAAGATATAAGCTCAGCTCCGCGGGCCAGGCGGACTCAGAGCTGCCCCAGGGAAGGGGCTCTGGCTCTGTCCCCTGCTTCCAGGCCCTTGGCATCTGGGTCAGCAGGATTGCCCAGTGATGGGCTGGGAGAAGAGAGGGAAACTGAGGGAGGAGACCTTGGGTAAGGGGAGCCACGGCACTGACCTCAGGAAGCCCAAAGGCAGTTTGGGAAAACCTAGACTCTGGGTGGTACAAGGCCTAGAGAAGACATGGCGCCCACTCCCTTGCCCGGCTCAGGGGTCAAACTCCTGACTGAGCAGGGGTAGGAAGCTCAGGGACGGGAGACAGCCCAGCATGGAAGAGCCTTGAAGGAACCAGGAGGAGGGGGCTGAAAGCCAGAGAGCTGGGCAGGCCTCTATAGGATGGGAGGAGGGGCTGCAGCAGGAGTCCTTGGTGGTCAAGGTCAGACAGTGTCCAAGCCCTTCCTTCCCCTGGTTTGGGTTGGGCATTAAGGCTACATGTAAGGTGGTGGGGTACTGCCTGGACAACAGGCCTGCTCCTTGACCTGGGCCCAGTTTAGCGTCCTCATCCGGCCTCTGTTCGAGTCCTTCAATGGCATGGTGTCCACAGCAAGCCTGCAGAGCCTCCGCCAGACCTCACTGGCCTGGCTGGACCAGTACTGCTCCCTGCCTGCTCTCCGGCCAAGTACGTGAGCCATCTGTCTGCCCACCAGCGTGTCCGGGCCACAGAACTAAGGGGTGGGGGTTCTGCCCTGCTCAGCCCCCAGGTCCAGCCTGCTTTCAACACAGCCTAGGGTTTTGGCCACCCCACCACGTCCCCTGAGTGGGCCACCAGAACACCTGTAGACAGAGATCCTGAGAGGGGCTGACGGTCTTGCCAACTGGTACCTCTCCACATTGCTTTGACTTCAGCACCCAAGGTAGGACCCTGACCCCAGGAGTTGTCTCTCTCTTCCTCAGCTGTCCTGAACTCCCTCCGCCAGCTGAGCACATCTACCAGCATCCTGACCGAACCGGGCCGTGTCCCTGAGCAAGCCACACGGGCAGTCACGGAGGGCACCCTGGGCAAACCTCTGTAGTCCTGGCCAGAGCCTGCTGCTCACTCAGCTGCCTTGGGGCTGCCTGCCCTGGGCATGAGCTCCAGGGATAACTTCTGGGCACTCCTCTCCCAACCTGGGCCTGGCAGTCCCCTTCCTGAGGGTCGCAGGGTCCACGTCTCATGCTTCCCACCTCCTGGAGGCTGAGAAAAGCTGAGTCCCCATCCCTGCTCTACCACTGTGTCCCTGGGTGACTCATATCCACTCTTTGGACCTCTGTTTTCCAATCTGCAAAATGGGGATGGGCAAGGTTCAACCAGCAGATGACCCGAGGCTGTAGCAACTGTGACACTGGGGGCCTAAGCTGGCAACTCATACAACTCGAAGGAGGGAAGAGGATCAGTTTCCCTGTCACCCCTTCCTGCTCCCCGACAGATGGACACAGGCCTTTGTTCTTGAGCAAAGAAGCAGAAAAGGAGGTTCCCTCTCTCAGCTCCTTCACTGGTGACTCAGAGGGGCTATAGGATGGCTTCCCCTGGGTGAGGCCAGGAAGGTCTGATCATGGGAGAGACCAGGGCAGGGGTGGCCAGAGCAGGACAGGCATCTTGTGTGTGTGTGGACATGTGTGTGTGTGGATTTTGTAAAGGATTCTTGACAAATAAAAGCCAAAACTGTCTGCTGGTGTGTCGGTGTGACTGTCAATCTGTTGGGTTGGGGAGAAAGCCTGCAGCAGTGGGAGGTGGCTTTGTAGAGGGCCTTGTGCGCCACCAAAGGGCCTGAGCTTTTACTCTTAGCTGGAAGCCACCACTGGAGGGTTGTAAGTGGAAAAGGGACAAGATCAGTTGGAACTTCACAGGATCCCCATGGGTGCTGAGCTGAGATTAGACGGAAGCAGAGAGACCAGTTAGGGGGTTGTTGTTCTCATTCAGGCAAGAGGTGACAGACACGCGTCCTGGAGATCCTTCCTGCGTGGCCAGGAGAAGGTTCAGAGAGGCTCGCCCCTTTCTGAGTGGGAAGAAGGCAGAGCTGAGACCAAGGAGTAGAAGTGACAGGGTCATCTACTGGACCCATCCAGAAGGAGACTCCGTTGGGGGGGGGGGTAGTGACTTCCCCACTGTCTGAGGTGTCAAGCAGAGAGTGGACAGCCACTTGGTTGGGCTGTCCTAGGAGGAACTGATATTTCAGGTGGGGGTTGGAGTAGAAGGCTTCAAAGGCCCCAATACTTCATTCATCCTTTCATTTATTGATTTAACAAATATTATATATATAATACAAGTTATAATAATTATTGTCACCATTAATTATTTTCATCACCATTTTACAAATGAAAAACTGAGGCAAAGAGAAGCTCAGTCCCTTGCCTGAGCTTGCAAGGTCAGTGAGTGGCTCAGAGGTGCCACCGGCCTGTCCGACTCTGCTTTTGGCCACCTCTGTGCTGTGCAGGTGGCAGGTGCACCCAGCCTTCCGTGTTGTTTGCTGCTGCAGACAGGCCTGGAGTGGCTCTCTGACAGGGACAGTCCTGGCAGCGTGTGCTCTGCTGTTTTCACCCACTCACGCTACCAGAAAGTTCTCTGTAAGACATCCCCTTGACCCTGTGACCCCTTCCAGATGACTTCCTGCCTGGAAAGAGTGGTTTACACTTCCTCACTCTCCCTCCTCCCCTTCCTCTGACCCCTCAGGCCTCTGCATTTGGGCTTCTCCTCCTCCCTTGCACTCCAGCCTCACCCCTGCGCTGACTCTACTCTCACTGCACTCCCCTCTGCCTGACTTCCTACTTGCAAAATCCAGTGCCCGCTTTGCAGTGCTCTTCTGGCTTCCCCTGGGACCTGGGGCCTCCTTGAACCACTCTTTCCCCAGGGAATCCAGAATTCTCACCAAGCAACCCTTCCTTCTCCCTGACAGTGCCTTCCCAGTTCCTGCTGTGGGAGTCTCTTCCTCTGCCTGTCCCTTCCTCAGCCACCGTCCTTCTCACTCTATGGCAAGCCCCAGGCTCTGCTGAGGAACCCCTACCCGGCATCTTCCCAGAGCTACACAACCACACATCCGACAGCCACCCTGATTTCTCCCTCTGAATATTCCGCAGCTGCCTTAACCTTGATGTAGCCAATACAGGGTTCATCACTGCCACAATCTTGTCACTCAAACCTGGTCCTCTCTGTGCTCCCAACCCCCAGGAAAAACACTACCACCCAGACACTTGTGCAAGTTGGAAACCACCATGAATCCCCTCCCCACTATCTGTGCTATCTGTCACCACCAAGGCCTGGCCATGACTTGAGCATCTACCTCCACAGCCACCACCCTGGCCATGACCTGAGTGTCTACCTCCACAGCCACCACCCTGGCCATGACCTGAGTGTCTACCTGCACAGCCACCACCCTGGTCCAGTAGAACATCACCTTTTACATATACTTGTGCATTAGCCTCCTGTATCCCTTACAGCTGCTCCTCAAACTTAAATGTGCATTTGAATAACTTGGGGGGGGCTTTAAAAACCTCCTTGACCAAGTCCAGTCTGGACAACTTAAATCAGAATCAATTGCTGGGTGTGATGTCTAGACATCAGCATTTTTTAAAGGGGATTCCAATCTGCAGCTATGGTTAAGAACCGTTGTAATGGAGGCTTTGAGCTGCAAATAACATACATCTGGGGGGCCATTAGTTTAAATCAGTGGTTTGTAACCTTTAGAGTTCATCAGAATTAACTAGTGGGCTTATAAAAACCCAGTGGTTGAGGCTGGGTACGGTGGCTCACGCATGTAATCCTAGCACTCTGAGAGGCTGAGGCGGGTGGCATTGCTCAAGGTCAGGAGTTCAAAAGCAGCTTGAGCAAGAGTGAGACCCTGTCTCTACAAAAAATAGAAAGAAATTAATTGGCCAACTAAAAATATATAGAAAAAATGAGCCGGTCACGGTGGCACATGCCTATAGTCCCAGCTACTTGGGAGGCTGAGGCAGGAGGATTGCTTGAGCCCAGGAGTTTGAGGTTGCTGTGAGCTACGCTGACGCCACGGCACACTAGCCCAGGCAACAAAGTGAGACTGTGTCTCCAAAAAGAGAAAAAAAAAACAGTGGCTGGGCCCCATCTCCACGCTAGTAGCGTGGGCTGGGATGGAGTCTGAGAATTTGTATTTTTTATGTTGCACAGGGACCACTTCTTCAATGAGGATGAAAGAAACCATGTCACCTAGCATAAGCCAGAGGCCAGTGAGGGCTCTAGCCAGGAGTCCTCAAACTTTTTAAACAGGGAGCCAGTTCACTGTCCCTCAGACCGTTGGAGGGCCGTTGGAGAGTGCAGTGCACATTCCACACATGCGCACTGTGGGCCCGGAACTAGTTGGCTGTTAAGCAGGACAGGCAGCTGCGGCAAAAACACCCGGCGGGCTGGCCGGATAAATGTCCTCAGCAGGCTGCATGTGGCCCGCGGGCCATAGTTTGAAGACCCCTGGGACAGTGCAAGCTGGCCTCTAATGAGGACAGACTTTCCCGCAGAAGTTCATGGTGCTTTGTGATTGGACCCTGCAATCTATCCCTCCAGACTCTTTTCTTTCCATGGCCTCCCTCCCCTCACATTCCAAGGGGTCCTGAATCTCCAGTGGTTCCTGGGAGGCACCATTCCGCTCTGCCCTTGCAAAGTTAGTTAACCCACCAGGGAGACAGGTCTGGGTTTTCCCATCTCCCTCCACATCCGAGTTTCCCTGCTGCATCCACATCCTTTCCTGCGGGTACTACATGTGCACTCACCCAGACAGGCTGGCCTAGTCAGTCACTCTGTCCTGCACAGGAATCAGTTACATCTGCCCCCCACCCACACCTTGGTTTGTTCTGACTTCCCATCTAGAATTCCCTCCCGCCGTCTGCTCCATCTGTCTAAATGCCCACCCATGAAGCTACAGCCAAGTCTCACTGCGCCTCGAGATCCACTGGCAAATCCCCCTCCCTAATACACCCAGCTTTCCTGGAATCCTGCTTTGTGTCATTAGTTGTCCTTCCACATATTGTACTTGGCTTCCAACTGGGCTACACATCACTTGAGGGTAAGAGCGAGGCTGTACCATAGCCAGGGTGGCTTGGCTGGAGGAGCACGGACCTTTGAGTATAGTAGACCCGGGTTTGACTGTGGGCTCTTTCCCTTGTTTCCTTATTGATCTGGGGCAAGTTACTTGACGTGAGCCTGGTTTTTTTTCCCATCTGTTTAAAGTTGTGCATGCTTCAGCAGCTTGTACACTAAAATCGGAACGATACACAGTAGATTAGCATTAAAATTATTAAAAATTTTAAAAATAAAGTGAAGCAAATAAAAATTAAAGTTATTTTATAACACAACCTGTCTTAAAGGCCACTAAAAATAGCAACTGAAGTCAAGAATGTGAAAGAATTTGGTGGCCTAGGCTGAGCTGTACAAAGAGTGGCTGGGCCTGCCCCACATCTATAGATTGCGATTAGACAGACCTGTATCTGTCTCCACCTGTGTGACCTTAGGAAAGTCACTTAACTTCCTAGAGCATCAGTCTCTTAATCTGTGGCCTGGGAATGTGAGAAGATTAAATGAAATGCAAAGTTCCTGGATCAATAAATGTCACATGCAAAATGCTTGGTGAATGAAATTCTTCTTCAAAGTACAGCTTTGTCTCTAGATGGTGAAGAAAGTGCTTTATGGCTGGGCCAACAGCTCTAAATAGCTGAGTTAGGGAGGAAAAGCCACAGGATACGCTGGACACCCCCTCGAAGCCCTCCCCACGCACTGTCCACAGCTGAGTCAAAGCCAGTTCCCCCTCAAAGGACAAAAGGGAAGGAAATGAGGCCGCTTCATTTGCTCTCTGACTGGATCTGTTTCCTCACCCAAGATTGCTGGTATGTCTGTCATCTAGCCTCTAAGACAGCCACTATCCTCTGAAAGACCTTTTAATGGCTGGAGGGTCTGGACTGTGAGGAGAGGCAAGCTGCCCCAAGGGGATGGAAATGTTTGAGACTGGATCTCCAACCCAGGTACTTGCCCTTGCTCTGGGCTGCAGGCCTGGGAAGCCCATGGAAGCATGCCTGTCCTGGGAATGTTCTCTCTTCAGCCAGGCAGGTTTAAGCCAAACTCTATCAATTCGTCTTTTAGAATATCTCCTTTTTGGTGAAATTGGAATGAAGTTCTGCAGTTTGTATCAACGTCAAGTTCCCAGTTTTTGATATTGTACTATAGCTATGAAAAATGTTAACATTGGGGGAAACTGAGTGGGAAGGCCCACGGGACCTCCCTGTTCATTTCTTTCAACCCCCTGTGAATCTATAATTATTTCAAAATCAGTTTTTTGTTTAAAAATCTCCTTTTCAACTTCCTTTCCACTCGCCAGGCCATTATTGCCTCCCTCTCGGATCCTTGCAGCCACTTCCGGCCTTCTGTCTTTGGTCTTTCCACACAGTGGTCCATGCAGAGAATCCCCGATTTTGCCCCATCGCACCCTGTAGTAAGCAGCTCGCTGGGTCGAGTCAGTGCTCAAGGCCCCGCAGACCTTTCCGACCTTATCTGCCATTTCCTTTTATCTTGCTCCTGCTCTGCCTCCCCTCAACATCCCTGCCCCTCCGTCTTTGCCGAGCGAGGCTGCTCCACACTCCAGCGCCTGGGCTACTCTTCCCCTTCTTCAGCAGCAGCAAAATCCCATCGGAATGTCACCGCTTTCCCACGGTTACACAGGAGCAATAATCCTCCTCCCCCGCCTCCTTGAAAAATTCAGTGTGGTGATGGCTGGGAAAACGCCTTTAATAAACGATTATCAGTAAGTTCTTCAAGGGGAGGTGCGAGCAGGGTCTGCAGCTCTCGTAGCCCTAACCCTCGCGTCGACTAACCCTCAACAGCCAGGCCCCGCCCCTCAGGGCGCCCCAACGGCCAGGCCCCGCCCCTCGAGGCGCCCTAACAGCCAGGCACCGCCCCTCGAGGCGCTCTAACAGCCAGGCCCCGCCCCTCGAGACGCTCTAACGGCCAGGCTCCGCCCCTCGAGGCGCCCCAACGGCCAGGCCCCTCCCCCGCGTGCGTGCGCGGCCTCGCGGAAACGGGCGGGCGCCCGCGTCGTCAGAGGCTGAGGTGGCAGCCGCCCCGCCAACATGGAGCTGCCGGAGATGCCGCAGCTGATGGGGCTGTCGCTGTTGCTCGGGCTGCTGGCCCTGATGGCGACGGCGGCGGTAGCGCGGGGGTGGCTGCGCGCTGAGGAGGCGAAGAGCAGCCGGTCCGCCAGTAAGTGGGTCCGGGGCAGGTAGGGGCGACCGGCGGGGACTTTGCTCCCGGCCTCCGCATGGTGCGACCTACAGCTTGGGCCCGTAGCTGGTAGGGCCGGGAGGCTCCCATGGCCTCAGTTTCTCCTCGCGTGAAATGAGTTTTGCTTCCAGAGACAAGGTGCCGCCTCGCCCGTCTGGTCGCACCCCTTGGGCAGGATTCTTTGGGACCTGGCTGCGGCTTCCTCGGAGGCCAAGGCAGCTTTCCGTCCGAGCCCCACTGCTGCTGGGGGTTGCGACGAGAGCGCTGTAGACTGTTACGCGTGCTCCGAGTCCTTGATTTTAGAAAAAGCACTCAGGCTAGTTCTGCGACGTGCAGCAACGTTTATTGAGTACTTATTAATATTACCCTGTGATAGGGTTTGGAAAAGTCTCTTCCTTTAAGGAGTACAATAAAGGAGAAATACACCGAGAATGTAATCTATGAATTATGAACATCTAAAAATGCAAGGGGAAAACACAGTGTAATAAGTTTCGTAAAGGAAGTCAGCACTAGAAACAGAAAACACAAGAGAGGGAGTCGTCAGCCCTGCTTTTTTGTGGGGGAAGGTTGTCAAGGAAATCGTTACCGAGAATAGGGAACACATGAGGCACACGAGGCGGTGTGAGGTCTTGAAGGAGGGTGGTGTAAGAAGAGATTGCCAGGAGGCCAAGGAAGAAAGACATTCCTGCCAATGGCTGTACTCAGGAGTGTGAGGAGTCTTCAAACAGCATTTGATATGATTTAAGTGTGAGAAAGGGGCTGGTTAGACAAGCTTGGAGAAGTAAGCAGAGGCCAGACTGTGGTCATCTTTCTATGTGGGACTCAGGAGTTTTTTTCCCTGTAGGAATTGGGCAGCATCTGCAGCCATCTAACACATGCCTGCTTTGTGATTAGCCTGATACTCAAATAAGATATTTTATGCAGAAGTGACTGGTGTCCTCCCTGGCACGGAGCTCAATACATGTTGACTTCCTCTCATCCTTGAGTTCTTTCTGGGACTCCCTTGAACTTTTAATGCTTGTGTTTGGTACTCTTGCTAGTTGCTTTATATATGTTATCTTTTCCAATGCTCTCAACCTCTCTTTTTAAGAGAACCAAGGCCCAAAGCAATTAAATAACTTACCTAAGGCCAGGGTCACCAGATAAGGTTGTGTACGTTATTCCCTACGTAGGGATGTCTGGCCCAGGATCCACATTCCATGGACTGGCTATGCCATGTACTCACTCAGCTGCATCAGCCCCCAAGAGTGTGCCTTTTTCAGTTTGCATTGAGGTGCTCTATGGACTTACCATAAGCAGCTACCCCAAGATCAGTCAGTGGTAATCCAAAGCCTCTGTTTTTGCCCACATCACACTCTCTCTCTTCCTGACGATAAGAGCCATGTCTAGTTCTTCTCTTCCTCAGCTCAGTGCCTGGCGAATCATAGGTGGCCCGTAAATGTTTATGAGTAAGTGAATGGATGAATGACATGCATGACCCTTCCTTATAGGCCAAAAAGCAAATGGATTTCCACTTAGCAAAAGCTCGGCATCCAAGAAGCAGAAACAGCATCAGCGGATTCGCAAGGAGAAGCCTCAACAACACAACTTCACCCATCGCCTCCTGGCTGCAGCACTGAAGGTACACCAGTACCCATGTGCAATACATGTACACAGAGACTCCCCCCCCCCCAAGAGTTTTCCTTTGTAGTAGTCTGTGCATGTTACAGACCCCCTCTGCCTTTGGTAAATGTCAGTGGGGTTGCCCCACCTCATCTCTTGTCATCCCAGCCCATCCTCAGCTTGCTTAATTAATTAACCCAGTCAAGAGGCCCCAGAATCATGGCTTCAGGTTTGGCTTCCCCCTCTGCCTGAGGGGTTCCCATTCACACTTCCTACGACCCTTCCCCCAGAGCCACAGCGGGAACATATCTTGCATGGACTTCAGCAGTAATGGCAAGTACCTGGCCACCTGTGCAGATGATCGCACTATCCGCATCTGGAGCACCAAGGACTTCCTGCAGCGGGAGCATCGCAGCATGAGAGCCAACGTGGAGCTGGACCATGCCACCTTGGTGCGCTTCAGCCCTGACTGCAGGTGGGACAGGATGGAGCCTCAGGTTTGCCTGCAGAAGCCCAGCTCCAGGCTTATGGCCAAGAGACCCAGGGTTTCCTTTGGGGTGGCAGAAAGAACATCTAGATAGCTTGAGTACTGCCTGGGGCTCCCTGGATTCCTCTGCGGCTACACAGCAAGGAAACAGGGGACGATCTCTTCCTACCCAGGAAGTACCACAGCCTGGCTTCCAGATGAGCCTAGGAAGCTAGCTTGGTTTTCTAAATCCTAGAGAGAAACTAAGGGAGCCAAAGCTATGAGAATTCTATCTTTTGAGGAGCTTTACAAGATTTTGAACCAAGGGGTTAAGCTGTAAGACTAGACTTTAGGGCATGAGGGGAGATCTTGATTTTCCTCAGAACCCAGCACATGACCTGGAACACGTAGGCCTCCATGTCCAAATGTAGGAGTGACTTACCTGCTACCTGTCTCCAGAGCCTTCATTGTCTGGCTGGCCAGTGGGGACACCCTCCGTGTCTTCAAGATGACCAAGCGAGAGGATGGGGGCTACACATTCACAGCCACCCCAGAGGACTTCCCTAAAAAGCACAAGGCACCTGTCATCAACATTGGCATTGCTAGCACAGGTAAGAGGCTTTCAGAGAGCAGAGCTTGCCCAAGGCATGAAGAAATGGTCCTATTATATTTCCTGAATGAGTTAATGCCTCCTGAGAGATTTGTTTAGCCTCAGTGTGACAAGGGGGCTCTCACTGTAAACAGCCTGGCTCTGTGCTCCTGTGGAGTCCTAGGAACCACACCAAGTCCCTGGGGAGGCACGGAAGAGCTGCAGCCTCCCATAAAGTCTTTATCTGTGGTGACCCTTGCACTGGGAGGGAAGCATAGATACTTTGGGCAGCATAGGCCTTATAAGTGTCTCTTTGGAGAGTGGCAGTTGATCAGATCATTGCCTTTGGCTCACATCACTGCCTGTACCTCAGGGAAGTTCATCATGACTGTCTCCAGTGACACGACTATCCTCATCTGGAACCTGAAAGGCCAGGTGCTATCTACCATCAACACAAACCAGATGAACAATACGCATGCAGCTATATCCCCTTGTAGCAGGTGAGGAAGGAGGGGCTTTGGGATGGGGACAGGGTGGGGCTAGGGGGCAGGCACAGAACAGAGAACCAATTTCACAGAGCAGAAAGAACGTGCAGGGTGGAGTCAGGAGCCCTGGGTTCAAGTCCCAGCTCTCCTACCTGTAGTAATGGGATTTCATGTACGGCATCTCAAGTCTTTAGTTACTATTTCTTCATCTGTAGTTTGTTTGTTTTAGAGACAGGGGTCTTGCTGTGTTGCCCAGGCTGAGTACAGTGGCTATTCACAGACACGATCATGACACGCTAAAGCCTTGAACTCTTAGGCTCAAGTCATCCTCCTACTTCAGCCTCCAGAGTAGCTGGGACTACAGGTGCATGCCACCACACCTGGCTCTTCATCTATAGTTTTTAAAAGGTTGCCATGGGGTGCTACATGTCTTAGAACAAGGCTATGAGGATGAACTGAGTTCACATAACCATTTATTTATTTATTTTTGAGACAAGGTCTTTTTATTGCCTATGCTAGAGTACAATAGTGTCATCATAGCTCCCTACAACCACAAACTCCTGTGCCCAAGCGATCTTCCTGCCTCAGCCTCCCAAAGTGCTGGGACTACGCACATGACCCACCATGCCTGGCCTAAAAGTGCTTTTTTTTTTAGACAGTCTCATTCTGTTACCCGGACTAGAGTGCCATGGCATCAGCCTAGTTTACAGCAACCTCAAACTCCTGGGCTCAAGCCATCCTACTACTTTAGCCTCCTGAGTAGCTGGGACTACAGGCATGTGCCATCATGCCCAGCTAATTTTTTCTATATATTTTTAGTTGGTCAATTAAATTCTTTAGATTTTATTTATTTATTTATTATTTTTTAAGACAGAGTCTCACTTTGTTGCCCAGACTAGAGTGAATGCCATGGTGTCAGCCTAGCTCACAGTAACCTCAAACTCCTGGGCTCGAGCAATCCTTCTGCCTCAGCCTCCCGAATAGCTGGGACTACAGGCATGCACCACCATGCCTGGCTAATTTTTTCTATATAATTTTAGTTGTCTAATTAATTTCTTTCTATTTTTAGTAGAGACATGGTCTCACTCTTGCTCAGGCTGGTTTCGAACTCCTGACCTTAAGTGATCCACCCACCTCAGCCTCCCAGAGTGCTAGGATAACAGGCGTGAGCCACCATGTCTGACCCTAAAAGTGCTTTTTAAGGTTCAGTGTTAACTAGGTATGAGATTGTTAGATTTCTCAGGAAGAGATCTAGGGGCTTTGCAGGAAGAGGATGTTCTTAAAATTAAGTTTTAAAGGAACTTGAGTTGTATGGCAGGTTTGTGGCATCATGTGGCTTCACCCCGGATGTGAAGGTTTGGGAAGTTTGCTTTGGGAAGAAGGGGGACTTCCAGGAGGTTGTGCGAGCCTTTGAACTGAAGGGCCACTCTGCAGCTGTCCACTCCTTCGCTTTCTCCAACGACTCCCGGAGGTGAGTGAATCTACTCTTACTAGTGGCTCTTGGCCCCTCTTGGCCACCAAGGTCCTTCTCCCTATCTGTACCATGACTCTGAAGTGGGTGGGGTGCCTGGCTCTCTGCAGGAAGTAGACTTGGCTTCCTAGCTGGAGCCCCTCAAGCTAGGTGAGTTGCAGCTTGAGCTGTGATTTTCCATGCTGCAGGATGGCCTCCGTCTCCAAGGATGGTACATGGAAACTGTGGGACATTGATGTGGAATACAAGAAGCAGCAGGACCCCTACTTGCTGAGGACAGGCCGCTTTGAAGAGGCGGGCACCACGCTGTGCCGCCTAGCACTCTCCCCTGACGCCCAGGTCTTGGCCTTGGCCAGCGGCAGCAGTATTCATCTCTACAATACCCGGCGGGGTGAGAAGGAGGAATGCTTTGAGCAGGTCCATGGAGAGTGTATCACTGACTTGTCCTTTGACATCACTGGCCGGTTTCTGGCTTCCTGTGGGGACCGGGCTGTACGGCTCTTCCACAACACCCCTGGCCATCGGGCCGTGATGGAGGAAATGCAGGGCCACCTGAAGCGGGCCTCCAATGACAGCACCCGCCAGAGGCTGCAGCAGCAGCTGACCCAGGCCCAGGAGGCCCTGAAGAGCCTGGGGGCCCTGAAGAAGTGAAGGGCATGGCAGGAGGGGTCGGCCACCTGCTCCCCAGCTGCTGCCACTTTTCTTTCCCAGGTACTCCTGGCTGGAAACCTTTTGAAAGGAGTCTCCTGATTTTCTCATTGGTGGCCCCTCTCCTCTTTTTCGCATTGAAGCTGTTCTTGCCTGCTTAGATCTCTCTCTCTTCTTCTTGGGTGTGACTCCTCCCAGATTACTGACCAAGGTGCTACTTTTACTCCTGGGCCCAAGGGGTGGAATCTGTCCTCACACAGCACCCAGGAAAGTGGTAGAAGAGAGTGAAAACATGGTTTTTGACCTTGTGACATACCCTGATACCCAGAAAAGTTTGTGAGTGTGGAGGCAATACCTAGGAAACACCTGAGTACTAAGCAGCACTGTACAAGGGTGGGAGGCTGGCACATCTTCCGGAACAGAACTATGCTCAGGGATTAGGGCAAGGCTAGTCTTAACTTAGTCCTAAGTCCACCAAAAAGTAGGTAAGGGATTTCATTCTTGGCCTCAGTTTTCTTATTTGTAAAATGGAGAATAAGCCTCTCTGTGACCTCTGCAAAGATGTGAGGCTAAGAGAGTATAAAGTCCCTAGGTTTGGGAGAAAAATGGAAAAGAGTAGTGATATTGTCCAGGTAAGAGTAGAAATCAGCGTGGTTCAAAACCAAATTAGAAAGAAAGAAACACATTCCTTGGGAAGGCGAAGTTTTCTGGGACTTGGTCCTACTTTTTGTATGGTTTTGCTTTAAGTAGTGTGGAAGAATCATAAAATACCAAGATGGGGCTCCTGTCTTCCAGGAGGTTCTTTCCTTTTTGAGGAGACCTGTTTTTAGTTCATCAGGTAGTTGAGTGCCTACTGTGTGCCCAACACGGCACTAGGCCCTGCAGATATACGTGAGTACGACACGGTTTCTGCCATCAAAGATGGCTGGTGGAAGAGAGAGCCAGACACATCTGTTAAGTGCTTTTTGTTAATTTGTTCGTAGCCACAGTAGGCTGTTGTAAAAGTCAAGGCAAGAGAGAGGATTGAATCTGAACAAAGGCCATGGCTATGCAGTTGAAGGGGTAGATTTGATAAGAGAGTAGGAATTTGGAAATTTAAATTTTTGAATTTGAGGACTTCTTGGATATGGGAGGTAAGAGAAATGAGGAATCTAGAAAGACTTGGGTCTAAGCAAAATGTGTTCATCTAAAATCAAAGTCTGGGTCTCTCTCACTGAAACTGGTCTTCCTCTGGTTGTCCCCAACCTATAAATGTTTGACTAAGCCATAACCTTGGAGTTACCCTCCATTGCTCTCCATCTCACCACTGCTACTGCCATCTACTCATCAGAACATTCTTTTGGTCACGCTCCACATGACATCCTGAATCTGCTGCTTTTCTCCATAGTTTCTGTTAGTATCCTGCTCCTAGCCAGTGTCACCTGCTGGACTACTATAATATCACTTCCTAATTGGTCTGTCTCCTCTCTGTTGCCTCATGAAATTACTTTTGTACCTAACAGTGATCTTTTGAAAATGTAAACCACATTATTCCCTGGGTAAAAGACTCCAAAGGCTTCCCATTGACACTTGGGATAAAATCCAGAATTCTTACCATGGTTTGCATAGTCCTTTGTAATCTGGCTTCTTCCTTCTTCTGTGACCTTTTTATTGCTCTCCCAGCCACCCCAACATTGCTGTTCTCTGAACCAGCCAACCTATTTCCAACCTCGAGTAGGACTGGTTCCTATGCTGTTCCCTCTGCTTGGAAGCATTTTTCTCTTCCGTTGGCAGATTTGTCATGTTCATCACAATTCAGTTCTCAGTTGCAGTTACACTTCAGAGAGATGCTCTTCCACCCAGTCAGAAGTAGCCCTTTCCACCAGTCATCACATTACACCACATTAGCTTTTCAAATTTATTTTATATTAATGGTCTCTGAAATTATCTTGTTTGGATATTTGTTTGCTTCAGGGGTTTCAGCTTAAATGCTTATGGATGTCAGTGCGTAACATAAATGTGGGAATTGGGCCATAGTCATCTGGGTATGAGACAGTAGGAAATGGTGGGGACAGAAGGGAGCTGGAGGGCTGTGTCCTAGGTATGGGGCGGCGGATGCTGACTACTTATCATTCAAGGTATCCAGCAGAAGTTGCCTGTTTTAAAGAAGCTAGAAGTTGGCGACAACTTATTTTTCAAAAAAAAATTAAGCACTGTATGGACCAGACAAAACACTAATGTGGGCCAGATGCCATCCCAGTCTCTCCATGGCAGCTTCCCACTGGAATGTGAGCTCCAGGAGGGCAGACTCCTTATATCTTGCTTTCTTGGGGTTCCAAGCACAGTACCTGAGACACAGTAAGCACTCAATAAATGTTGGATTCAAACCGGGGGCAGTCAACAGAAATTTTGGTATCTTCTCCATGTATCTTCCTGCCCAGTCTCCACCATGGTTTCATGTTCCTATTAAGGAACTTCCGACTGATAATGCTATGGACACAGGGCCTGGTGAATATTTACTTTCTGATTGTCAAAAGAATGAGTCTAAAAAGTTTTTCCTTTGCATACTTGTTTTGAGAAGCAGCTTTGGCATTACTGCCATTGTACATCCAAGAGAAAAAATGACAATATGTTGTTGCTGAAGTCAGAAGTCTTCAGATTCAGTCTCCACTGGGTCACTTACTGACTTGAGACCTGGAGCCAGGTAGGCCACTTGACCTCTCTGAGTTTGTTTCCTCATCTGTAAAATGGGAATAAATCCTGTTTTGTCTACATTGCAGTGTGCATTTCTGGTAAGATTAGTTAAAACACTACAAAAGGTCATTATACAGACTTCTGAGGACAGAATGCTCTGCTCACTAAAAATGAGGCTGCTTCTCTTATAACCATGGAAAAAGTGTCTGGGTATTAACATAGAGCAGGAGCTGCCAAGTTTTTTTTTTTATTGAAAATCCTTGTGTGGGCAGCTCATATCTAACATTACTTAGGTCTGAGTCTCCCGGGCAGATGTTCTTATAAAGGAAAAAAAAATCCATGTGAAGGCAGCATTAATATTTTAATATTACTATTTCAAATTCTGTGGATTTGAAATTTTTCAAAATAAAAAGTTGGAGAAATATTTATTTTATTTTTTGTCTTTTTATCATTTACTTTGAATCATTTATACCAAAGAGGGAAATATTTAAAAATTGGCTATATAGGCCGGGCGTGGTGGCTCACGCCTATAATCCTAGCACTCTGGGAGGCCAGGCAGATTGCTCGAGGTCAGGAGTTCGAAACCACCCTGAGCGAGACCCCGTGTCTACTAAAAAATAGAAAGAAATTGACCAACTAAAAATATATATACAAAAAATTAGCCGGGCATGGTGGCGCATGCCTGTAGTCCCAGCTACTTGGGAGGCTGAGGCAGGAGGATCACAGGAGTTTGAGGTTGCTGTGAGCTAGGCTGATGCCATGGCACTTACTCTAGCCTGGGCAACAAAGCCAGACTCTGTCTTCAAAAAAAAAAAAAAAAAAAATAGGCTATATATCACCATTTTATTGATCATCAAACATGGGAGGGAGGGAACTGCACGAAAGTGCAGAGCTACAGACCTGTTGATACAGCCTTGGTTAATATCAAGGGAATAAAAATACTCATATTTAAAAGATTATTCTAGGCCAGGTGTGGTGGTTCACAGCTGTAATCCTAGCACTCTGGGAGGCCAAGGCGGGCAGACTGCTTGAGGTCAGGAGTTCGAAACCAGCCTGAGCGAGACCCCGTGTCTACTAAAAAATAGAAAGAAATTGACCAACTAAAAATATATATACAAAAAATTAGCCGGGCATGGTGGCACATGCCTGTAGTCCCAGCTACTCAGGAGGCTGAGGCAGCAAGATTGCTTGAGCCCAGGAGTTTGAGGTTGCTGTGAGCTAGGCTGATGCCATGGCACTTACTCTAGCCTGGGCAACAAAGCCAGACTCTGTCTTAAAAAAAAAAAAAAGAAAGAAATTCCACCTCCCTGGAATCTTTCCCAATTGCCCCAGGCCTCACAACCCATGAGTGCCCACCTGGAGTGCTCGTTCTGTCCTACTGAAGTGCGGTTTCCAACACCTTATCCAGAGATGGCACAACCTGTAACCAGCTGTGTGGTTTTGGGTATGTCCTTTAAACTCCTGGAACCTGAGCCTGCTGTAAGATGAGGTGTCAAAAATAGACATGGCTTGCAGGCCTTGAAACCACACGATATACAGAGAGATTAAAATGATGATATCATCCTAACAGTGGCCTGCCACTCCCTGGGGAGTGTTTCCTTCCTCCTCCTTGCAGCCCCACTGTCATTCTGGCTACTTTCCTGGGGGACATGGGGTCTTCCAGCACCTCAAGAGCATTGGGGAAACCAGCTTCTTCGTTTGCAGTGACAACTTGAAGCCCTGGATGATGTTGTTTATAACTACAACTATTCCAGTAAAGTCACATTTCAGAGAGTAATATCTTTAAAAAGGCACATCAAGTTTTGTTTCTGTGTTGTCTGCAATAAACATGCACTTCTATAATATCAGTACTATGACATATTGAAAGCATTGATAACAACCTTTCGTGACATATATTTTCTCGCACTTCACAGTAGCTCTTATGAGTTAGCAAACATCCCTCCCTGCGTTGCAGATGGAAAACCAGAGACTAGTGGAGAGAAAGCAGTGAGCAGGAATTCTGCCCTGGGTCTGAAGACAGAGCTTGACCTTGTTCCCAGTGTCATCTCATGTAGCCTCTAACCTTGAGGACAGGGACTTTATAGTTTTAGGAGTCCATCTTTCACCTCTTTCTCCTTCATATGTGTTGTTTAACATGATGAACACACATACTTTTTGTCCAACAGTGACTTGAGCCCAGGAGTTTGAGGCTGCATTGAACTATGATGATGCCACTGCATTCTATCCTGGGTGACACAGTGAGACCCTGTCTCAAAAAAAAAAAAAAAAAAAAAGGAAAGTGCTGCGAGAGGTGGACAGAACACTTTGGGGGCCTAAACTAGGGTGAGATTGCCTTTGTAACAGTGGTGGAGGAGTTTGCGTCCTGAAAGATGAGTATTTCAAAAGGAGGGTAAAGGTACCATGGACAGGCAGGAAGATGACAATGGTGGGCACGGAAGAGAGCTGTGGGAAAGAATAGTGTTCAGTCACTGATTCACTCAGTAACTCTTTTTGAGCACTTCGTCTGTGCCAAGTGCTAGGCTAAGGTAGTAGGGATGTAAGGGTGGACATGATGAGAGGGACCCTGTCCTAATAGGGCTGGCATTTCAGGGAGCAGCAGACAATGTAGAGCAAGTGACTTGGGAGGCTGAGCCAGGAGGATGGCTTGAGCACAAGAGTTTGAGGTTATAATGAGCAATGACTGGATCACTGCATTCCAGCCTGGGCCACAGAGCAAGACCCTGTCTCTAAATAATAATAATAATAATAATAATAATAATAATAAAGAAAGAGAAAAAAAAGAGCAAATGAACAAGTATAAAAGAAGTTCAGGCTGGGCGCGGTGGCTCCACACCTATAATCCTAGCACTCTGGGAGGCAGAGGTGGGAGGATCGCTCAAGGTCAGGAGTTTGAAACCATCCTGAGCAAGAGCAAGACCTCGTCTCTACTAAAAATAGAAGGAAATTAATTGGTCAACTAAAAATATACAGAAAAAATTAGCTGGGCATGGTGGTGGATGCCTGTAGTCCCAGCTACTCGGGAGGCTGAGGCAGAAGGATTGCTTGAGCCCAGAAGTTTGAGGTTGCTGTGAGCTAGATTGATGCCACGGCACTCTAGCCCAGGCAACAAAGTGAGATTCTGACTAAAAAAAAACAAAACAAAAAAAAAAAAAAATAGTATAATATATATATATATATATTTATATTTATATGAGCACCCAGTGAGCACCAGGCTCTGTCTAGGTGCTAGGGCCAATCGGTGCACAAACCCAAACAGGCCATGTCTCTGCCTTCATGTACTGAAAGGAGATACATAATAAGAAAGATGGACAAGTAAACTAAAATAGTGTCTGAAATCAGCAGTCCCCAACCTCTTTGGCACCAGAGACCAGCTTCCTGAAAGACATTTTTTTTCATGGACTGGGGAGGGGAATGGTTTTCGGGATGATTCAAGTGCATTACATTTATCTTGCTGTCAAATCTCTCTGCTAATGACAATGTGCATTTGCAGCTGCTCTCCACCTCAGCTCCACCTCAGATCATCAGGCATTAGATTCTCATGAGGAGCATGCAACCTAGATCCCTTGCATGCAGGTTTACAGTAGGGTTTGCACTTCTGTGAGAATCTAATGCCACCGCCCATCAGACAGGAGGCGGAGCTTATGCTGTGATGGAAGCAATAGAGAGCGGCTGTAAATACAGGTGAAGCTTTGCAGACTCACCCACTGCTTACCTCCTGCTGTATTGCCTGGTTCATAGCCTGGTACCAGGCCTCAGCCCAGGGCTTGGGGACCACAGTCTTAAGTGGTGATGACAGCTCTGGAGAAATTAAATTAGTTGGAGAAGGGGAATATAGAGTGTATGGGAGGATGGATATTGCAGTCTTAGATAGGGTGCCCAGGGAGGCCTGCATTGAGAAGACCGCTTTTTGGTTTTGTTTGTTTGTTTGTTTTTGAGACAGAGTCTCGTTTTGTTGCCTAGGCGAGAGTGAGTGCCGTGGCGTCAGCCTAGCTCACAGCAACCTCAAACTCCTGGGCTCAAGTGATCCTCCTGCCTCAGCCTCCCGAGTAGCTGCAGGTGTGCGCCACCATGCCCGGCTAATTTTTTCTATATATGTTAGTTGGCCAATTAATTTCTTTCTATTTACAGTAGAGACAGGGTCTCGCTCTTGCTCAGGCTGGTTTCGAACTCCTGACCTCGAGCAATCCGCCCCCCTCGGGCTCCCAGAGTGCTAGGATTACAGGCGTAAGCCACTGCACCGGCTGAGAAGACCACTTTTGAATACAGACTTCAAGGAGGTGAGGGAGTGAGTCAGGCAACTATATTGGGAATAGTGTTCCAGGTGGAGGGAGCTGAAGTGCAAAGGCCCTGAGGCAGGAGATTGGCTGGGTCCAATCAGATGCACAAGAAGACCAGTGGGGTAGGAGCTGAAAGAAGCTGCAGATGAGAAACCTCAGATAGGAGGCTAGCCAGGACTTGGATAACAGTGAGAGAGAGTTAGACATAACTGCCTGTTGTGGGACCGTGTGCCTCAATCAGGGGGGCCTATGAACAGAATTGGAGGAATCTCTCTCCTGACACTTGTCATATTCTGCCTTTCGTTCTATTTTCCTATTGCTTTCCTGACGTCACCTCAAGGGAAGGGAGTGTGTTTTACTCATCTTTGCATCACCCACAGTGTCCACTGCTGTAGGGCATATAGCAGGTGCTCAGGCAGTGCCTGAGTTACAAGCAACACATGTGCCACCTTTGATCCCGTGATTTCTAGAAAGATCTTTTCCCTCCACACACTGGTTCAGCTCTTCCACTCCTTAGTCAGGTAGAAGCTAATATTTCTGGCGCCCTCACCAGCAAAACCACATGTTTATCAAACCATGTTAGTTGATCGTGAAAAGTTAACAGTCATGATTGGAAGCTGTGTCAAGTTCAGGGTTAGCTAGCTATTTGTCCGGAGCACACAGAAGGAAGTTTCTCTAGAAATGGAGAAGCAGCCACTACCAACTTGCTTCCTATATGCTTCCTAAAACAGCTGCTATAGGACCCACCCTGCATACTGTAGGCAGGGGCAAAAGAGCTAGAGAGCTGCACTGAAGATCCAA